TTATGACGAGATTGGGACCACGCAGCGACCAGATAGCGACGAGATCCTGTCGGCGAATCTCGAATCGTTTGTCGTCCGAATCTCGTCTTGACCCCGACTAGATTTCGTCATAATGCGGTCCCGATTCCGTCTCGATCTCGTCTCGATCTCGTCTCAGCATTATGACGAATAAAAGGCCACATTCTGACCGTTTTCAGCCGGGCCCTTTCATACGGGCGGAACCATCGCGGAACTGCGAAACTGAATGTGAGTGGGGGGATTCGGGTTGCGTGTTCCGCCGCCAGATAAGATTCGGGATTTAATTCTGCGTTGTGTCAACGCCACGATAAAGCTTAAAGACGCGGTCCGCTGTCGGCCTGGCTGGGCCTGGCTGGGCTAGGAGGCCGCGGGTCGGTTCGCCGCCGTTGTGACTCACTGAGTGTCGCGAGAGGGGACTGCCCGGCCCGGCCCGCGGCCCGGCGTGTGTCGTCGCGTGTCTCACTCGCACGCCTTGTTGACTTGGGGAGGGGAGAGGGGAATGAGAGAGAGAGGCATGGAGACTGAGGTGAGCCGGGCTTATCTGCAGCGCACTTCACAACAAACTGCGCGTCGGCTCTAGTGTCGCTGCTCCGCACTACGTACTCACCCTGGGATCCCTGTCGTCCTGGAGCCTGTCCTGGACGTCGTTGGCCGCGGCACCCACACGCGGGTGCTCCGCCTCGGGGTCCGAGTCCAGGTCGTTCTCTTGATCGCGATCCTGGTCCCGGTCCTCGTCGTGCCCCCGGGCGGAGAGGTTGACGGGGCACTGCGACGACCTGCGCCGCCTCCGCCGTTGGGCGGGCGCCACGATGACCTGCTCCCGCTGGGGGGCGGCGGGGGCGGGCGAGGCGCGGGCGACGGGCTCCTCGGGGGAGAGCGGGGGTGGCGACGGGCTCCGCCGCCTCTGGAGGGGCTCGGGCTCATCGTCGCCGTCGCAACCTGCGGGAGGACGAGGGTAGCAAGGTTATTGTCGACGACGTCGGGAGCCCCATGGGCCGACTCCCGCCACGTGCTCGCTGTACTCACCGACAACGTCGATGTTGAGATCGCCGCCGAGGTCCTCGTCGGCGTGGGATGCCGGACTCTGCGCCTGCTTGAGGTGGTCGCGGAGCTCCGGCCGCAGGTCGTGGAGGTCGGGCCGCTCGTCGAGGCCCAGGGGGGACTTGGAGGCCCACGCCTCGCTCTGCCACACTGCCGGCGGCACCTCCAGCAGCCGCATCAGGGACTGGAAGCTGTCGACCTCCTCGGGCTGCAAGGCGAACAGAGCGGCATTGCGTGAGAAGCCTGTGAGCGGGGAAGTCCCCTGCATTTCCCGCGTGGTTTTCCTCTTCGCGCTGGCCGCCCCGCTCCGCCCCGCTCTGGACACGACACGGATGATCTTATCGCGCTATCCGCTCTTGCCCCGCTCCGCTTGTTCTGTGTGCCGCTTGGAGGCCGAGTCCGTCACAGCGCGTCACAGCGCCTGTTGGTTAGAGACGAGACAGAAGTACTACGTGTTCTATTCCCTGCTTGTTAGCCGGCAGTAGCAGTGAGTGAGTGAGTGAGTGTGACAGAGGGGGAGAGAGAGGGAGAGAGGGGGAGAGAGAGAGAGAGAAAAAGAGAGAGAGAGAGAGAGAGAGAGAGAGAGAGAGAGAGAGATGAGAAGTCGGGAAAGAGGTGGGTCTTGATAAGGATAAATCTCGCGAGCTTTACGAGAGTATCTATCTTACACTCGAGCTTTCAGACTGAAAACTGGCAGAGTAAGCGAAAACCAATTTAACTTTTAGTTGCTCTAGAGTCGCTCCGCGCTCCGCCCCGCGTTCGCTCGAATACTGCTGCTGCGCCCGGCTGCGCGCTGCGCCCTCTCTCGCGGTGGACCGCAGAGTGGGCGTGGCGCGGCGTGGCGCGCTGGAGAAGGGAAGCCCTGTGCCGCTGGAATCGGAGCGCCGCGCGCGTTTCCGCCCTTTCACGGTGACGTCACCGAGCGGCGTAATCGACGTAATAGTTGTATCACGAGCCTCAGTGGGGCGTGGCGGGGCGTGGCGTGGCGGGGCGGAGTGGGGCGGGCGGAGCGGCGCCCAGGGCTGCGGCTGCCCGTTCGCTCTCTCAGCCGGTTAGTGACCGTGTGGTCCTGGCGCTGTTGGTATAGCCGCTGTTGCTACTCATGCAGGATGGCTGACAGTGGCAGAGACAAATCGCCCAAAAAAATTGCGTCCAAGATATTTTAACTGTTTTTATTTTAATGGCAGCTAATTGTCAGAACACAACCTAACGGCTTTTGAGGTTTTGTACAACCTTCAGAACTTCTTTAGCCAACCTCCAAATTTGTAAAGTTACCGATTTTCAAAACTCGCTTTTTATTGTTTTCAAAAATAAATCTCGTTGGCAAATTTAAATTATTTTAATTTTGGTAGAAAAATTTCCAAAGAGCCACTATTTACTTGGATGTTATGTTTGTCCTGGCGACTAGTTTGGCTCCCGACAGGTCTAACAACCGTAGAATGTATCCTGCTGGCCCTGTGCCACGGCACGCCGCGGTGAAAGGCGACGGGCCACTATACGTCCTGCACCGTCTGCCAATGAGTCTGCTGCTCCGGCCCGCGAGCTTACCTAAGCGTCCAGCAGCCCCCCCCCCCTCCCCCCTCAACCCGCGGCCCGCTGGACGTCTGAATGGAGCGACACGACACGAGACACGGCGACGGATTAGTGGAGAGGGAAGCGGAGGGTGGTGGTGGTGGTGGTGGTGGTGGCGATTGGCGCGGTAGTGCTCGCCAGCTGGCCTTGACCGAGGCGCTCGGCCCCACCCCGCCCCGCCGCAGCCAGTTCCCAGCAGCACTTCGCCGCGGTCCCCGCCCCGCGGCACAGCGGCGCAGCGTGGCGTGGCGGGGTGCTTCACCACCACGACTGTGGCTGCGCCTCGGGCTGCGCCGCTGGCTCATCAGCAGCGCTCACACACGGATGTCATGCCTCGCTTCGGCCACCCAGCCCAGACTGCGCAATTCTGCTCACCCCCCCCCCTTTTCTGATTGTAAAGACAAAGTAAAGAGATGACGTTGAGGCCAGAGGCGCGGTTTTTGGAGGAATACCCAACCCCCTCCCCGAGCGTTAAGAAGTCAATTTTCCAATTTCCCTTACAAAACCACTGGATAAAGGCAACCTACAGAATATCGCCTCCGGTGTATATTGCCCATACCGCCAATACTCACCTGCACCGTGGCGTTGCCCGTATACAGCAGCTGTAGCAGCAGCCGCATCTCGTTGGCGCCCACCTCCGGGAGGTGGACGTTGATGGGGGCGGCGTGCGGCGGCAGGTCGGCGAGGAGGCGGCGCGCGAGGCGGGAGGCGGCCGCGAGCAGGCAGCGGTGCGCGGGCAGCGCCACGCCCCCGGCCACCACCAGGTGCACGTCGGCGTGCCGCTCGGCGCCCCACCACGACGCGGCCTCGGCCGCCAGCAGCCCCGGGTGGGACCCATCGTGGGCCAGCCGCATCGCCTGGAACAAGCAACAACAAGCACGCGGTCAGACAGGGGGGCGTCGTGTCGCGGACGTGCAGCGCGGCGACAGCGGAGCGGGGCGAGAGAACGGGAGGAAGGACCGAGGGAGGAGGGCCCCCGGCGGGTAGGCACGCCCTGCGCGCGCGAGTGTGACGGGCTGGCCCGCCGCCCGGGCGCTCCCACTCGCGCGCACCCTCGGAGGAGGCGCAGGCGGAGGTGGAGGAGGAGGAAAAGGAAGAGGAAAAGGAAGAGGAAGAGGAAGAGGAAGGGAAAGAGAAAGAGAAAGAGGAGGAGGA